AGACTGCACGATCTACGGCGCGCATTGCAGGATCCTCCAAAACATGCAGGTTCCAAGAAGAAACTCCAGACGCAGCCGTCTCGGGGATGGTCTCTCTTTGCGCCGTCCCCTCCCAAAACCCCACCAAAGCGTGATCGCAGCCATCGCGATTACCAAACACTAGAGTCATCGCCACGCAGTCACCGCTCCTCAAGAGAATACCGCTCCACCACGGCAGCTTCCCATCCAAGTCCCGAGTCTTTGCGCTCGCAGACACGCCACCACCCTTCCCGTCCGCACGAGCAGCAAACCCCCACTTCTCGCCCAGCACGCTCTCGTACCCCCAATACAGCGGCTCGTCGTCTTCCCGACCGACGATTTGCCGTGCTCGCAGCCACCAATGAGGCACTCGAGAACGTGCGTCGGGAAGCCTTTGCGCAGCCTTCTCCCCCGTCACGCAGTGAGAGGTTACGCAGGTACCAAGGCGTCACCGTACCCTCCAGTCAAATCCCCTTCAACTGGGACTGTGTAAGCAGTTCGCAAACTTCCGTCAGTCAGCGCCATGGCGAGTCTAGTGGGAGCCGGCAGAGGCGTTCACGACGTTGAGAGGTACCCTCGATCTTTCTATTGGGACATCAAGCGCTTCAAACCTTGACATTTCCTCGTTCTCCCCCTTTTCTCTTCTTTTCTGCAACAGGATACCCCCTGCATGGTTCTATTTCACTCGTGTGAAGATGAGGCTTTGGCCTCGGCGTAACAGGCATTTCAGCACATAATACCCCGTAGCATCATAGGCAATGGGCACATTTTATAGGTCCCCTGGGAGGAGGAGCCAGGCGTCTACTTTTACTTTGACACAACCAGCTTTTTCGTCCTGTTAGATTTACACACCAAACATCCCTTTGAATCCGTCTACTTGCTCTCGACATGGTGTTTGTGTATTGTTCGACTGAGGGCTGGCATTGGATAACCGTGGCAGACGTGATGTATTCTGTTGCAAGTGCCTACCGGTACCTAGTGCCCAGACGTTACTTGAACCCATGACCATCCCTTCCACCGTAAATGACAGCTTAGTCAGCAGCACATGTTGCGGCTAAGCTGTAAGTTTCGCTAAGTCGAACTGTGGAATGCGGCCTCTTGGGTGTGGCTGAAAGGGGGGAAGGAGGACCTTGAACCTTGAAACTTGCCCCACCATAGTTGGATGTTATGTTCAGCCGCTCCTCACCACCAGCTTGACAAGTGACGCCCTCGCTGCCTCGCTGCCTCATGAAGCAAATCTTCCCCCCCCCCCTTTTTTTTTGGTGATATACGTCCAGTGTATAGTAGCTAGGTACTTTGTTACAACCCCCACCCACCGTACCGTACCGTAGTCCTCTCAGCAGCAATTCAGACCCAGACTTCTTCAACAAGCACACGCAATGGCTGGGGCCGCTTCACGGCGCACGACGAGATCAATCAGTCTGCCGTGTTTGGGGTATTTACTGCGCGTCGAGATTGATTGCAAGTATACCTAGTTGCCGATGTTGTCACGGTTGGATGGCGAGGCTGACTGTCTGTACTAGAGGTGGGTGGGATTCAATAGTACGGGGTTTGAGTATGGAAGGCGGGTTTGATGATGTAGTGCTAGCGGATGGGGTAGAAGCAGAAGTGGCGGAAGCAGAGGCAGAGCCAGAGCCAGAGCCAGAGCCAGAGCCAGAGCCAGAGCCAGAGCCAGAACCAGAGCCAGAACAGAAGCCAGAACCAGAGCCAGATCCAGAAACAGAACCAGAACCAGAACCAGAACCAGAAGAAGACGCAGAACCAGAAGAAGACGCAGAAGCAGAAGCAGAAGCAGTAAAGCATCGACATATGCTAGCACGGCAGCAGCAGAATCAAGCTGCGAATGTAAACTTTTTGCGTCGGGGAATCGCCATGCAAGACAAGGGAGCGGAGGGACAGGCTCGGCTGCAAATGCGGCTACAGCAACAGCAACAACGCCAATTACAGCAATGGCAAGATGTGCATGGTTTGGATACACAGTGGAGTATACCGCAGATGCAGACGCCGGTGGCGAATGTGGGCTTCATCGTTGGAGTATCAAAAATCTCGCAGCGGCCTATTGATAATGTCAACTTCATGGCCTCTTTGCCGCCGAATCCAGCTTTACTGCAGGGACCACAGCCGTGTGCAATGCAGCCAAATACGAGCTCCGAAAATCCTCAACCGTGTTCAGACGCTGGCATTGAGGTTGGTGACATGCATACTCGCAGTGCATCGCTCAACATCGATAGGGGCTACGAATCTACTGGGATGACTAGTCTTGTTCAACCCGCGCTCGAGACTGAGGCTTCCTCGACCACAGTCTCGTCGCTGCGTCTTGCTGGGAAGAAAGAGTCCAAGAGGAAGGCTGATGTGGAGACGGCGGATCCTGGAGTCATGGTGGGTAATTTGCATCGCTCTGATGATGCGTTTTTACGGCGGCTTGGGAAAAGGAAGCGACAGGTATACGTGGGCCAGTCCTGGAGTGAGCTGAGCTTCTCTCCTGCCCAAAGTGAAAGGACTTCCATTGGGACAGGGGAGGACGATACGGTGTTTCCAGCGAGGAGCCGTCCACGGCATTCTGATATCAAACACGACTTCAGCAGCATAGGTATTGCCAATGGTACCACCACAGGCACAGCCAATGATCAGCACCGCAGCCCCGTCTATCAAGCAGTCGGATTGGAAAGCTCCTCGTCTATTCGAGAAGCTTTCTACAACTACGTAACATGCAAGCAGGAAACAGGGCTTCCTAATTCGTCCTTCATTTACCGTTTGCAGAATGGTGATATTTCTTTGACTCCTCGAACCGTGGATGGTTCACGTCCAGAGCACAACTTTTCTACGCTCTTTATACACCCTACTCTTCCGAACTCAAGGTCCAATATTAGGCTCCTGCGGATGGATCCAGGACCCGATGCGAGTGGGGCGAGTGACTTATACTGCTCACTTGAATCCGTGGATCCCTGGAACAGTAGACTACAGTACGAGTGTTTGAGTTATTGCTGGGGTATTTCCACCACCGGCAAGCAGATCTTCGTACGGACCGCGGATTCTGACTATCGACCCATGCAAGTCACTGAGAACCTTCATAGCGCACTTCAGGGCTTGAAGACCAGTTCCAAATCGACACTCTACTGGATCGATGCTATATGTATCGACCAAACCAACGATACTGAGCGCGGGGAACAAGTGGGTTTGATGAGGGATATCTACAGTAAAGCGTCTGGCGTAGTAGTCTGGCTGGGCCCGGGTACAACAAGGCTAATGGCAGCCTTGGATATCATCAACGACATGTCAAGGCGGTTTCAAGCTGATGCTTCCATCTCACCAGACACCATTGTGGGTCCCTCGGGCCTAGATTTGTCTGAAGAAGATATTGCACACTTGCAGTCCTACACCGAGTATGCGTACGAGGATATCGCTCACTTCTTTACGCTACCTTGGTTCCGCCGCGTGTGGGTCCTGCAAGAGGCGTTGTCTCAACCCGACATCACCGTAAGGCTGGGATCGTATAGTTTGCCTTGGGGGTCCGTTATACTTGCCGCACTGTGGCAGGCACAATTCACTCGTACTTACACCGCGTCATCGACCGCTGATGCCGGTGGACAGGATAGTGATCAAGGATTCCTCCCGGGACTGTGGCTTGGTCTCCTGCACACGCGCATGCCGCGAGGTCTTTCGTTGATTGAGCTGGCGTCGCGGGCACGAGATTTCGAGGCCACCGATCCTAGAGACAAGGTGTTTGCCTTGCTGGGACTTGCAAACGATCTTGGCCCTTTGGATAGCCGGCCATCAGGTCTGGTGCCGGATTATTCCAAGACTGCCATCGAAGTCTACACCGAATTTGCTCGGGGCCTCATTCTCAAGACTTGCAAGCTCGATGTCCTTAGCCTGGTGAATACTTTTCCCTCGCCAGATGGTTTACATAGTTTCGTCTCATGGATGCCAAACCTGGATCAGCCCGTAGCCACCATTCGAGGTTTCGGCTTCCCCGAGAAATACAACGCCTGCTTTTCAACGACAGTAGACGTCCATCTCGCCCGCTCCCTCGACGACGAACCCCACATTCTCCAGCTCAGAGGCTTTCAAATCGACACCGTCCAATTCGTCACAGACAGCCCCTTGACCTTCTCCCGCAAGCTCACACTCCACCTCGAGCATACCACCGACGCCATCACCCACCTCTGGCGAACCCACCTCCTCCCCACCACCCCCAACGAGATGCCTGAACGCCAACGCCTACAGCAATACATCGAGCTCCTCACCGCCGCCGGCTTCGCGCAACCCACACAATTCCCCGCGCAACCCCTCGGCCACATTGTCCCCTCGCGCCACATCCCTTCCCTCGTCGCCGACTTCGCCGCCTACTGGGCCCGCCTCGACCCGGGCTTCACAGACTTCAGCGCGCCGCTCGCCGCAAAGCTACAGCGGCTTGCGCGCAGCGGCGATGCGCATCAGTTTGGCGTGCTGGCGGGCAAGGCGTGCCATGAGCGGAAATTCCTCGTCACGGCACAGGGACGCGTCGGGCTTTGTCCACAAGGGACGGCGGTGGGGGATGCGGTCGTGGTGTTGCGCGGAGGTAGTGTGCCGTATGTGCTTGCGCTTGGGGCTGCGGGGAGAGAGGGCAGGTTTGTGGGCGAGTGTTATGTTGAGGGGGTCATGTTTGGTGAGGCTGCGGGGTTTGGGGGGGAGGAGGTGGTGTTTCGGATATTTTGAGGTGGGGGGGGGGGGGGTTTTTTCCTTGGCTTGAGCGGCGATGTTAGGGGTGTGTGCGAATTCAAAGGGATTTTTGTGCAGGTGAATTGTAAGAAGATGACTGGTTGTCTAGTCGATGTTTCATTTCCATGGTGGACAAGATTGCATTGACGAAGAATCGTGCTTGCTGTGTTGTATAAGTCGCCTGGCGGTAGAGGACCCAGGTACGCAGTTATCCTCACCAGCTGCTACGGTAGAGTAGGCAGACGGATGGGTAAAAGTACGCTTAACCGAGAGACCCCACCACGTTAATGCAACAACACGTTCGCCATCTCGACAACAAACACAAACACTCGTCAATACACTCCATCCGACTTGGGAAAAAAAAACAGCAACAAAAACACACACGCTCACACCCATTCTCGCAATTCCCCACGCTTCACCAAGCTATCTAGCAATCGCACATGTAGTAAGTCGGGATTCCCCACTCCCCCACCCTGCATGCATCCACCGCACAACAGCCAACTCACCACACCAGCACCAGTCCCAACCCCAGCCCGCAATGGTCTGGTTCGAACACCGGCTCGACGAAGCCACAAACGCGCGGTTCGACACGGCCTTGTTTCTGCTCCGGCTGCTGGTAGTGGTGTTTGCGATGATTGCGTTTTTGCTGGGGGTGATTGCGCGGCAGTTGGTTGGGTTGCGGAGGGCAAGGGGAAAGGGGGGAAGGAGGGTTGAGGGTTGAGGGAAGGGTTGTGCTGGGGATGGAGGATGTGGATGGCGTGGAGTAGGATGGGAGTAGGGCATGTTGTAGTAGTAGAGATTGGAAGTCAGGCGCAGGATTGGGGGTATTCCCGTATAGGGCGATGTAGAGGGCTGTCTTTGGGGTTCGCTACTATAGGTGGAGTGGTGTTGTGATGGTTGTGGTATGGCGCATCGGCGTCGGGGTCTCACATTGCTTACAGGGATCTTGGATGATTCGCTCGTTGGAGGTGGCAAGTTATAACTCTAGATTTTCTTCAAGCTTGCAAGGACAAGGAAATACAAGGAACTCTGTAGAGTAGTAGTTGGCAATATATTGTACGGGTAGAAGACTTGATCTTCTTGTCGTGTCTACTCTACTCACTGCTCCACTGTCTGGTTGCAGACACGCGTCACCACCAGCCTCTATGGCCAATCAAGGCAGAGTGCAGGGCCACGCTAAAACAGACACGACCCACACGTTCTCCGTTCTCCCCCCCCTCCCCTCCCTTTTCGCTTCGCAGAGCCTCAGGGTCTTTTCTCTTACTCTCACCCACCTTCCATCGACGTGTGCTGCTGGTCTGCATTGTCTCTCGCTCCCTAGTTGCCGCATTGCAATCAATCCTCCTTGCCCCTTGCCCTATCATCTCGATTCGATCGTTCGGCGATGCGGCCTAATTGACCGGTCGTTTCCCGGTCCTCTTTGCGTAGCCCACCAACCGCCACACGCCTTTTCTTTCCTGCCGAGCAGCCAACTTTTTGTCACATTTCCCCGGTCTCTCTCCATGGGCCGACTTCCCTTCCCTGCAGATGCGGAGCTGACAGGCCCCGACCGCTTGGTTCTGGACGTGCTCCGCAAGGAATATGAAGCTTTCAAGCATGACGCAAGCGACGCTGAATGGGACGTTGCCGACGATTCGGACGATTCCATGATCAAGAGGACCGAATTCGTGGTCCCGTCTCCCGAAGGTAGGCGGCCTTCTGCTGGCTGTGCTGATCCAATGAGAGCTCCAACTGATAAGATCTAGATCTGTCAGACCAACATCAGCAAGCCATTGCTTACTTGAAGCGTCTGAACAACCCCAAGTCTGATGGCTTTGAGCCTACAGTCTTTAGCACCAAGGATTTGCCAGACATCAAGCATGGCTTCTTTCGTCGGCAGATCCTCGACCCTTACCTGGTCTGGGCGCGCACCGTGGTTCGAGTCGAGACTGACGTCGTCATGATCACACATCTACTGCTCTACCTGTGCACCACCGTTCCCTCTGCCATCTATCTCTTCGTCCACTTTCATTGGTGGCATGCTGTGCCTCACTGCGTCGTCCAGGGTTGGTACATGGGAGCCTACACCCTCCTACGACATCAGCACATTCACATGCGCGGTGTCTTGCGCAAAAGGTATGCTCTTATCGATGAGCTCTTTCCCTACCTCTTGGATCCTTTGATGGGCCATACATGGAACTCGTACTACTATCACCACGTCAAGCATCATCACGTCGAAGGCAACGGGCCGAATGATCTGTCGTCCACCATTCGCTATCAAAGAGATGATGTCTGGGACTTTTTGCGTTACGTCGGACGCTTTTACTTCTTCATCTGGTTTGATCTGCCGCATTACTTTTACAGCACACGCAAGCCTGGACTTGCTTTCCGAGCAGCTGCCTTTGAGCTTGGCAACTACGCATTCTTGTACTACATGTTCACCCGTGTCAATGCTCTCGCAACCACCTTTGTCTACCTCATTCCACTGGCTCTCATGCGCTTGGCTTTGATGACGGGTAACTGGGGCCAGCATGCGCTTGTAGATGAAGTAGAGCCAAACTCGGACTTCAGATCGAGCATCACGCTCATTGATGTGCCTGTAAGCCGTTTGCACATCGACATCGCAATAGCAACACGCACTAATCGGGTTTAGAGTAACCGGTACTGCTACAACGATGGCTATCATACTTCTCATCACCTCAACCCGCTTCGTCACTGGCGCGAACATCCTGTTGCTTTCCTGTCGCAGAAGAAGCAGTACTCGGATGAGCATGCGCTGGTGTTTTACAACATTGACTACATGTTCCTCACCATCAACCTGCTGAGGAAGAATTACGAGCACGTTGCCAGGTGTCTGGTGCCGATGGGTGATCAGATGAAGCTGACCATGGAGGAGAGAGTGGAGATGCTCAAGCGCAAGACGAGGAAGTTTTCGGAAGAGGAGATTGCCCAGAAATGGGGCAAGAAGTATGCGAAACTGAGGTGAAGACGCCAGACTCGAAAAGATAGACTTGGATTTGGATATGCATAGATCATGGACACGAAGGATGTGCGCAGTGAATGACAGAAATTTTACATCACGTGCCATGTCGGTCGCACTTTCCACCTTTTGAATAGGTACCTAGGTGCTGTCATTATTCCTGCCTTCACTGACCACGTGATATCTGTCTAGGTTGGAGAGCCTCCTTGATACTGCTACTGCATTCTCACCCACCCTATACCCATCATTATCGCAGCCGTGGTTATGGCTTCGTTGCCACAACTACCGCCCGAATGCAGCCTTTTCGTAGCCACACCGCAAACAGTTCATCTGAGATCGCTGGCCGCTGGTAACAGAATTCTATTCGAGTGCGAGACGCCCAATGGCGTTGTCAATGCGAAAGCTTCGAGGGACAATAGTAGCCTGATTGCGATTGCGGATAGCCAGGTCGTCATATTACACGACACGAAACGCGGCAGTGATCGGGAATATAAGCTGCAAAAGAGCGACGTCAGTAGGGCAAGGGTGTTGCCACATAACTTGCTTGCTGAAGACAACCCAGGGAGAACCACGGCTGCTACTGTTCTCACCAGATTCGCGTATCCTCTACTTCACGACTACCCTGAGCACGTCTGTTCAAGCCTACTCTATTCCTACAGCAGAACTCCTCCCATCTTTACCGCCGCATCCTTCGCCCCCAAACACTCTTGCCATTTCACACAATGGCCATGTCCTTATCTCGGCTTCGCCAGTGCCACCCACCATATACCTCCAGGACCGACGCTGGGGAGCCAGCGCACCAGTGATGTTTCAGCCGACTGATGCCCGCTCGCCCGTCACCTGCGCTGCCTTTCAGAGCCGCGAGGAGGACTCGCAGCCATCCTATACCAACTTTGTGCTGGGCTTCCAGGACGGCGCTCTAGCCTTGTACCGGCTCTTCCTCCCACATGCCACGGACAATGGCAAGCAGTCACATGTACGCCACACGCGGGCCTTCCAACTCCAGCCGGTCCGTGTGGGGGCGATCAGGAAGCTGCATAAAGCAGTCATGGGGGGTATGACGGCCGCCGAGTTCCTGCCGGGCTACAAGTCACGAGTCCTCAGTATCGGACAGGATGGCAAGTGTAGACTTGTCGACTTTGAGGCTGGGGGGAGGGTGTTGAGGACGTAGCATGTCTGCGGCCCAGCGACGTCGATATCCATCCTGGCCAGTGGACCGGTGGGCTCAAGGGGTCGGACAGACGACGATGTGCTGTTGGGCGGTGATGCGACGGAGGAGGCGAAGAGGGCGTATGATGGTGTGGAAACACTGATTGCTGTTGGTACACGAGCGGGCAAGGTGTTGGTGTTCAATGTGCTGGGTTTGCTTAGACATGAGGTCGTGTTGGAGGCACCGGTCATGACTATCGAGTGGGTGGGTGACATGTCCACGCCATCAGTGCTACCGAAGCGAATTCCTTCCCTGCCGCTAGAGCCTGGTACGGCTATGGGTGACTTGATGGGAGATGGAGAGATGTCATCGGACGAAGACATGGGTACGGTCAAGAAGACAGAGTCACCGTGGAAACATGGCGGCAGGGCCGTACTCCCATTTGGAAGCCCAAGAGATCTCTTCTCCGAGCAGCCTGAATCGCGCGTATTGCGACCTAGCCTTAGACCGTCGGATATCACGACAGGCTCACCCTTATGCAGGGAGCATCCGAGGCGGAAATCATTACTCCGACCACGTATCGCTACCGAAACCTTCACCTCGCCGCAACACGTGTCTTTTGCCTTGTTGGACAAGATACCTTTGACAAATCCAAATCCATCTCATCTTCCCACTCCAACGCAACACCAGCACCAACAGCAGATTAGAAGCCAGAAACACCCATCACCGCCCTCCCCACCTCTCCCCTCACCATCCCCATCCCCAACCCTCATTCCCCAAACATCCCCCCTCCCAGCCCAAGACTCCGACCTCTCCGACACTGAATACTTCACCCCACCTTGCACCACCCAACGCCACAAACTCCCAAAACCACGTGTCCCCGCCCGTCCCCATCGTTTCCAACACACACCTCCGCACTCAGCGAACCCCGCGCCCACGCCTTTTACACCGACGCTGCAGAGTGAGACGGCAAATGTGCCACCACCATTGCTCGCGGGATCCCGCCGAATCAGTCTGGGACGTGAGGATGCGCCGCGAACGCCTGGCGAGGGAGTCTGGGGCACGGAGAGATTTTCTTCGCAGTGTGTGAATGGGGACGGGGACGGGTGTTTGGATACCTGGCCGTCGTTGTCATTGTCGAAGCTGGATTCACGGCTGGATGCTCCTTTTTCTGGCGACTTTACTTTTACGTCGCTTGGTTGTGTTTCGTCGACACCGCGTCCACTGCATCCACTGCATCCACTGCACGCACAGCACCGAAACAGGACCCCGGATGAACTCGCCCATCTGCGGGAAGAGGTTGCGGCGCTCAAGTTTGAGATGCGTGCACTGAGGGGGGAGGTGCGTGGGTGGATGGGGAGGGTGGATGGGAACGGATAGAATAGGAGGAGAGTAGGGGTGACAAGAAGAGGGGAAATCCAGAAATCAAAGGTAAAGCATTTTTTTTTGTGCGGGGGTGCAAGGATAAAAGACTGGAAGGGTAAATGGGTGAATAGAGAGAGAGAGTGTAGAAATGACTAGTGAATCTACTAGTCCAGTGTGAGTGTGGAAATGAGTATGCTGTTGTTTTGTGATGTCTGTATAGTTTATGCGCATACCCACCTACTAGAGAATGAGAGAATAGTCGAGGGAAGGGAAGTAGAAGTGGATAGGAATGTGGATTGGGCGACAAGTCGAACGAGAGTAAGAATCAAAACATGATCAAAAGGCAAGCAAAAGCCAAAACCAAACACCACAAATCAGCAAGAATACATCAAACTATCCATCCCCCACCTCAACGCTTCATCATCACATCATCACATATCCCCAACCCCCCTCTCTCCCTCTGCATTCCCCATCCCTTCCAACCCCAACCCACTACCCAAACGCACAGCCCAATTCCCAACCCACAATCCCACTCAACAAACGAAACCCGCCAAGACCAGTCCGACATGCGAAAATCCACCTGCAGAGTGCATTCCAACCCCCAACCCATCCCAGTAACGCACGCAATCCCCGCTAACCAATCCAATGCCCAACCGTATTCGACCCCATGCAATGTATCATGCAACCAGGCTACAGCAACAAAAAGAAAGAAAAAACAGTCCATCATGTCTTTACAAGAAAGTGCGCATACCAATGCCTACGCGTACCGCTATTGGGGTGCTAGAAGATACAAACAAATCTAGGCGGAAGAAAAAGACGAGGGAAAGGATTTTAAAAGGATGTGAATGAAAGAGAATCGCTCATGGAGGAGAGCGCGTTCGATGAGAAAAATAGTGTGAGATGGTCTGGAGAGAGCGCTGGGGTAAACAAGACCAGGCCAGCAAGGCCAGACCAGCAAGACCACACCAACAAGAAAAGGCATGTCGAGCCTTCAGAACACAAAACTCTCGACAACCTCCCAACCACCCAAGACACATCGCCCATCTACACAGCAACCGAGGCTTCCCCCTCGTCATCCTCGACATTCTCATCAACCCCAAACCCACTGTCCCACTGCCTCCTCGACACCTTCTTCTTCCCACCACTCTTCTTGCCCACCTTGACCTTGTCCCCCGCCTTGACAATCTTGCCGGCAACCACGCGATTCAAATCCATCGGCTGCGACCGCACCTCGATTCGCTGGGCCTTCATTTCCTGAACGGCGTGGAGAGCCGCGGCGTTGCGCTCCTTGAGCTTGTCCGCAAGCTTCTCGTTTTGCTCCTGGAGTGCGCGCTGCGAGGTGGTCAGGGCGTCGATTGTGACGCGCGTGTCTTCTTCTGCGAGGCGGAATTGCTCCTTGAGCTTGTCGATTTGTTGTTCGAGGCCGACAATGGTGTCCATGCGTGCGTCCCCTAGAAGCTGGAGCTCGGTGATTTCGCGGTTGCGCTCGTCGAGCAGCTCGTCGAGCTCTTGTGCGCGTTGCTCCGAGGCGCTCTTGAGGTTCTCAATGGTGGCCGCTTGGGTCGCGATGACGGTGCGGAGGGAAAGGACTTCGTCGTTGTGGGAGCCGACAATGTTGAGGAGCTCGTTGGCTTCCGACTCAACGCGCTGGGACAGCGAAGTGTTTTCCTTGCGGTAGCTGGCGTTGTCGGCTTGCGCGGCCGCCAGATTCTCTTCGAGATCAACAATCTTTTCCTCTAGAATAGTAGTCTCCTCCAGGTGCGCGCGGTTGCTTTCTGCGAGCTGCTCATTGAGACGCTTAATCTCAGCTTGCTGTCGCAAAACCTGGTTGTTGAGGTCGGTGATGTTGGCTTGCAAGGAGGCAATGGTAGAGTTGGTCGAGTTCTCTAGTGCGGTGTGTTGGTTCTGCAAATCTGCAAGCTGGTTGGTGAGGGTGGCAATCTGGCTATCGCGATCTTGTTCAGTCGCGATGAGACCTTGTGCCGCATTGGCCAACTTCGCCTCCACCGCTTTGAGGGTAGCCTGCAGGTCCAAGATTTCTTGATCACGCCTGACGATTGTGTCCTCCGCCTCCACACGACTATCCGTCTCTTGGTTGAGCTGCTCGGTAAGGTCTTCCTCGCGCTCACGAGCCTCTTCTTGGAGCGTGGCAATGGTCTCCTCCTTCTCCTGTTGGAGCTGGAACAGCTTAGACCGAAGTTCGTTTGCTTGTAGCCCAGAATCATGGAGACGCGTGGTGAGATCCTCAATCTTCTCGTTCGCCCCATCAATCTCAGCCTCCGTCTTCTCGCGTTGGGCGCGCTCAGCATTGAGGCTGGTGCGGAACTCGGTCAATTGCTCCTTCAGTTCATGTATCTGCTCATTTAGATTCTCGATTGTGTTGGCATGCTGGTACGCAAGATCGGTCTGTTCATCGCGCTCGGTTTCGGCTATCTCACGGCCCTCGGATTCGGCAGCAAGACGTTCGCGAAGAGTATTCATGTCCTGGGTAATGGCGTCCACCTCGGTCTCCATACGCTCAATGCTGGCCTCAAGGTCGTCGATGACATCTTGCTTCTGCATGGCGTCCGCTTCAGCAGCCTCACGACCCTCCTGTTCAGCAGCCCGCTCAGTCTCAAGATTCTGAATGGCAATGGCGTGTTCTCGTTCAATCTGCTCAATCATGTCGTGGTGCTCCTGTTCAAATTTGGCGGCAGCGACGGTAACCTCGTCGAGCTCCATGCGGTACTTTTCAATCGCCTCGCGCAGACGTTCCAAAGAGGTATCCTTGCCTTCAATCTCGTCGCGGAGACCAGCCATCTCAGCGTCATTCTCGGTCAGCTGAGTGTTCTGCCGCTCAGCCAGGGCCGTCAGCGTCGTGGTCTGCTCTTCCAGGTCAAGAATAGTCCTCTGCTTGTCCTCGTTGCTCTTGTCAAGGGTGTGTAATTCACTCTGTAGTTTGTTCACACGATCTTCAGACTCGCCCAGGAGATCCAGGACGCCTTCAAATTGACGTCGCAAGAGTACCTCGGTTTGCTGAGAATTGGCAACGAAGGCAATCTGCTCCTTCAACTCCATAAAGATGCCACCGAAGAGCTCAGGGATCTTCTGAAGAAGCTGCTGATACGTGAGATCTTTGGTGGATCCCGGAACAAACTTCTCCATTTCTGCACGGAGAGTGTCGAAGCCATGGCGCATCTCAGTGAGTATATCCTTGGCGGTAGCACCAGCTTCCATGTAGTGGAGATTTTGGAGTTCTAGTGTAATGACGCGCAGCGCGCCTTGTGACTCGCCAAGTGCCCGACTGTACTGCTCAAGCTCTCGTTCGTAGCGTTGGACGGCCTGGTTGTCAAGGCCCTTGGGCACGACGGTGTCGTCCATGTCCATCAGAGTATCGTGACTGACCTGGGAAATGCGAGGGAAGGATTCAAGCGTGACCGACTGGGAGAGTTCTTGCACGCGAGCAGCGTATTTTCCATTGGGTGTGTTTTCCATGACCAAGTCTTGTGAAAAGTCAAGCTCGTCTGGGTTGACAAGTAGCAGATCGTCATCATCATCAGAGAAGTCGTCCATGTTGCGATCGTCACCGTTGTAGATGGACGAGGCTCGCAGATCATTGATCTCATTGCGGGCCTCTTCCAAGGCGTTCTCCAATTCTGCAGCATGCTCGTCACTCATGTCAATCTCACCCAAGCGACGAGCCTCGATTTGAAATTCCAAGTCGGCAATCTTCTTGTCCTGCGCCTTGAGCTGTCGGCGGAGTTCCAGCAACTGCTTCTTGTCCTGCCTTTGGTGGTCTTCGATGTTGATGAGCTCCTGGCTCAGATGGCTGCGGCGGAGACGGCGACGGGTGCGACCATCGAGGGCGGCTTTGAGGGGTACGAACTGGACCTGGGTGCTGGTCTCATCGACTTCGTCAATGGGCTCCACTTGGAATGAGGCTGGCATCGACATGCGCGACCGGCGCGCATTAGTGAAGCGAGAGCGCGAGGCGCCAACGCGATCAAGGTGGGGTGTCAGGCCCATGATCGGCTGTGTGGAAGGAAGGGTTGGATAGGCAAGTTCGTCGTCGCTGCCGCCATCACGACCGATCAATGGCTCTGACTGGCGGCGCTTGTTGCGGCGGGTGGTGGTGTGGCTGCGCTGCTCGACATGGATCGTACCTTCCTCTCCCTGCTGCGACCGTGAAAATGACTGTTGTATCTCTTCGGCGATCTGATCCTCGTGCTCGTCGTCCTCGGCCTCGACATCCACGCGCTTGGTGCGCTTGGTCTGCGAGATCTCTGCCGAAGGAGAGGCAGGACGCTTGGTGGTGGACGTCATGTCGTCGTCGACAGCTTGGCTCTGGCTCTGGCTCTTAGACGGGCGACCGCGCTTGCGTCGTGGAGCGTCGCCTGGGCCCTCGTGATGGTGCTCAGAGGGAAGGCCGCTGAGGCGGGCCATGGTGAGAAGATGGGTAGAAGAGAGATGGGCGTGGCGTGTGACTAGAAAAACATGTGTTAGAAGTCGAAGATGGCAGTCAAAGGGGGGAGGCAATAAAATCATTAGACCAGACGCAGGCTGTACGAACCAAGTCCAAGTATGGTGCCACAACTGCAAGATTTGCTCAACGCGCGGTGTTTCCTGTCCTCTACGCTGCAGGCCAGCCAAGCGCGCGTGCAGTTGAATTTGTTGTTGGCCAACACGGGTGTCTACGTGCGTGCTGAGTTGTGGATGGAGACAGATAGCGGGGCACGAGGTACTAGGAGAGTCGAGAAGAGAAGCCAAGCTGGGGTGATGATCATCCAAGAAGGGCAGCCTGGCGAAGTTTGCTTTTGTGTGGGTGGGTGGGAATATTGGGAATTGGGGGAGGTTGGGGGGTTGGTGGGTTGGTCGCGTAGGGGCGGTGGGTTTACGTGCTGCTACGTCAAGCGCTCGGGACAGGCAAGCAAGGAAGGAGGGATCGTGCGCCACAACATCATTTCACCACGGCCCGCGGACCAGACGTGACGTCGACGCGCCTCTGAGTATTGACGCGTCTTCACCCGCAAAACACCACGACAATCGCCATTCCCCCCTCTCTACCTAGACAATACCGACCGCCTTCGCACACACCGACAAGCTCTGTTCACGGCATTGTCCCTGCGATCAATGTCCTGCAACTGTCAAAGATTTCATTGCGTACTCTGCCTACAGCATACACCAGGCTTTCCGCATATCCCCCTCACGTAATTACAGACTGGTAGAGGCTCTCTACCAAGCAATCATCCACACAAGTGAACCGAGGCTAATTGTACAGAGTACTGGTATAAGCCTGGTCCAAGTGCTCCTGTGCACAGTGTGCGGAACTTAGTGGTCTTGGTCCAGAAAATATTTCACACGCAAGCGAAGAAGTCCTGCAGAATTCTGCTCACGAAGAAGTCTATTGACTCGATCACGCGTAATTTCAAATTCGAAAAATTGGCCCCGTTGATAATATCGACTCAGTTCGTTGACAAAGGTTCCAGCAGGCGAGTCATCGACACTTTGGACGTGTATGTACCATCTCGCGCCGATAGGAAAGTGCTCACCCACAGTTAATTGAATAGAATGAATTTCGATCCTGAGAGGGCCATTATTGTCATTGTTTGAATCCCAGAAAGCAGTGAAACGTGTAGGCTCGGTAGTGTCTACCAGTGGCACTCCTCCTCTAGGACCAGTCACTCCTAGCCAAACGTCGAACGTGCGCCGTTCTCTTAGACGTACTGCGCGACCGCGAATAGGCTGCACTAATGGCAGTGGCGTTGGTTGTGGCCGTTGTTGTGGTGGCCGTGGCTGTTGTGGTGGCCGTGGCTGTTGTGGCTGCGGCTGTTGTGGCCGTGGCTGTGGTCTAACTCTATGACAGAGGAGGTTTGCAAAGAATGGAATACAGCCATGCATGCCTCGCTTCACCTGCGGCAACGTTTCTGATTGGTGTTAGCCAAGGTCAGCATGTTGAATTCAAAGACTCACTTGAGAGTTCACCGTGATTTACAGATCCTGCTTGATCTTCTCCGAAATGTCCAGTTCCATCTCTAGGAAACGGTAGTCCAGGAGGGCTGTCGGAACGTGGTCCAAGGACATCGGCGTCGAAACCAGGAGATGTCTTATCTGGTGTAGGAGCGCCATTGGAAAATCCAACGAGCAAGGGCAAGAGGAGCAACAGTGAGAAGCGTATAGTCAGGTGGCAGGAACGTTGCTAATTGTAATACTGGTTGAGAGATTTGTAGGTACAGCAGGCTGCCTCTTTAAAAGGCTTTGGTCATCCTTTTTATACTTGTTCCTGAAATGATTAGGTATCTAGTGCATCATGCCATAATGTAAGTAGTAGTACTCTATCACACCGTACTACAACCGCCACGGCACAACACAATAAAACTAGGACATCACGCCGTAATTCGATCGTTCTGGCAGACCGTAATATAACCGCTACATTATCCCGTAATACACCTAGTATCTCACACTATCACGTGCTCTACTACATGATAAAAGAAATGCAGTGTTTGGCATACCAACACCTCCACAGACACACTACTATCCATATGTCATCCGACTCCTGTAGCAGTTGAAAAGTAGACGTGTGTTGCCAGCGTGCTTGTAAACGCAGCCAGTTCCCTACTGTATAGACTAGTACGTTGTAACAGCATGAATATTGCGCATAGCGATATTATCTAAAGCTTGATGATCGACATGGTTCGTCTGCGTTAGAGAATATCTAACCCGTGAATCCACAGCCAACTGAACTGTCGCGTAAAGGAAATTTGGCCGTCTAATTAATATGTAACGCTTGGAGCTAGACTTGCAGTATTCTAGGGCTTACTGTAGTAGTACCGTAGTTTTCAAAAAGCATCAAGAACAAATCAACGGCGTCCGCTGCCATTGTGGCGCGCCTCGACAGACCAAAGCAGCGCAGGTTACATAAATAGTAGTCTACTAGTTCGCTCTCTCTCTATGAACGGGCATATTGTGGATCATCAACAGCCATCGTAGTCTGGCAACTGTAAGCCGCACTACTTTCGATAGCGGGATGAACATGAATTAATTATTAAAATGTCCGCGTTATCAGGAACCAGACTCGGTCTTCACCTGTGCTTCGTCAAATCCAGTACACTTGACATGGTAATCCCTAATACAAGGTAATTGCATTTCCCTACTAAAGTGTATAGTCGTGGTGACTAGAACTTGTAGACCTTCCACGATGCCCAAGAGCGTTTGTTGATGCGAGCTGTAGCCGCCCTCCGCGGGTTGTACGTGACGTCAAGGCGCCTAGTCCCTTTTTAGGCGGTTTCACTCTTCATCTCAAGACGATGGGTATGTACTTTAGACGATAGCAGGCGTCTTGTCCAAGGCATCATCCTTGTGATAGCCCTCGAGTTATCAGGAATTTCACCGCGTCATTTCATCTAACATGTCATCATTGCAGAGTCTAGAATTGAGACGCGCTGGAAAACTTGGATGCTGGGCACCTACGGTGATCATTGGTAGGAAGACGTTTGGAGAAAACCTGTAATAAACGGTCAAGGGCGATGATTATAATTTTCCCATGACCGCATCCACGGTACAACTGGATTCCTGCCTTGAGGAACGATATCACATGCGTCTATGGCGGAGACGTCGCTCTCGTCCTTGATTGACTCTTGTCCCCCATGCAATGAAACATGGACATTCATAACAAACACCCGTTTCCCAGCCATCATGGTATGATAGTGCCAGCTCACTTCTTCAACAAAAAGTCGCTTTGTACCACCAGGCCCTTGGTCGCGCTCGCAACGCCATACAGCCCGCCCAGCGGCCATGTCTGCCAGAAGCGCTGGTACGCCCAATCAGCCCACGTTTGTTTCTGCGGTGTCTGCTTCGCCCCAACAACCCCCTGAAGGTCCACCTTGACTTTGTCGTACACGCCCGGCAGACGCTCGGCCTGATACTTTCTTCGCAACTCCAGATACTTCTTCTCGTCGTAAATCTCCCAAAACTCCTGCTCCGTGTAGTAGGCATGTGCATACAGACACTTCATTCCCCCGAGCTGCGTCACCTTGGCTTCAAAGTCTCTGTTGAGCTTGATAAACTCGTGGGCGTTGTTTGGCCCCAAGTCCCAGATGCCAACGTCGAGCAAAATGTCCTCCTTGATGTTGTTGCCCTGAGAAAAACTGCGTTCGCCCTGGGGCGCAGACTTGACCGGGCAGAGCCACAGTGGCCAGATGCCCGTCCTCTCATCAGTCCATTTGACGAATTCGTCTGCTGCGTCGTAAGGCACGGCGAAGTCTTGTATAATAGTCCTCGTCGACAGCCCTGAACGGTGGAGCGCATGCACCATCGTCCGAGAATACATGAACGGGTCCAACAAGAACCGGGTGATGCGATTGAAAGGCGTAATGAAATACTTGAAGGCTCGTAGACCAGACCAAAAGACGCCTCGGTCGTACCGGAAAAGATATGTCTGAACGGGTACTGACTCCTTGTAGATGCTCTTTCCGTCTTGGATACGGTCCAAAATCTTCTCTGCATGCATATAATGCCATGGATCGATAGCTCGGTCGAATCTCTGAATCTTTCCATGAACGGGAGTATCAGTCAAGTGCCCGACTATTATGACCCCTTTGGTGGGCGAATACAGGATGCCGTCCATGTAGTCGACATCTGGCTGGGTCTCATAATGCCTCAGCTTTTCAACAGCCTCTGGCGTACTTCCGACGGGAACATACTGCAGTTCGACGTAGGTTTTCGCGTCGATGAGCTCCATTTCAAGCAACGTAATGACTCCAAGACTGCCACAACTTCCCGCAGCGGTGAAGAAGAGATCTCGGTGTTGCTCTGCAGACGCCCAAACGACGTCGCCATTACCAAGTATAAGCTCGATGCCAGTGATAGTGCGATCAAACAGGCCGTACTTGAATGAACTGCTCTCTCCACTGGTACCAGCGAATCTGTTTCACTTGGAGTCAGTATCATACCCTCAAGCTTCTTCACATGTGTGCTGATTGCTGCCAGCCGGCATGGCCGATTTGGACGCCTTGACATCTGACGGGGCTTCTACTCACCCTCCGCCAACTGTGATGTTGGGAAGCTCCATGACAACTTTTGGCAGAAAGCCTTGGGCGAGTGTAGCCTTTACCAGCTCATCCATGGATACGTTTGGTTCCACCAGCACCGTTTTTGCCGGCTTGTCAAATTGCAAAACATGGTTTAGGGAGGAAACGTCAATGATTTGATTTGGCCGACGTGACGACTGTCGTGTTGATAGCGTGGAACCATGATAGATCCGAAAAGGTATCTTCGAGGCACTGAACCTCGCGACTTGCGCAGCCAGCTTGGCTACGGTGGCCTTGTGCGATTCCATGGGTGTAGTTTGGCCCTAGGAGGCAGGGTAGCGATGGAATGACAGATGTTGAGATGGGAAATGGATGCTTATGTACGACATGTATCCCGACACCCTCGAAGTCCAGCCCAAGCGTGCAGGGCGGAGATTTCTCTTCTCCAAGCTTTCGATCTGACCGAACTCAATGTCTTGCCTTAGCCGCCGGATCCGGGATGTCCTAGGTGATCGTGGTGTACCTCATCCGCAATGTTGGCGCCAACGAACCTGGGCTGCCGAAACATTGGTTCGGGGTCGAGTTGGCGACTTCCATCCTTAGGTAATGGTCAGTGGCATCTTGTGCAGTCGCTACGATCATCCACTTCGTGATGCTCTTTCAGTTGAGATTCATGCTCGCCTCGTTTGACTCGTTTACGCAGGCAAGGGATCAGGAGCAATGGGCGGAGGGCGCGGCAGGCCCCACTCGCTAAGCACAAATGCTGACGTATGCTGGCTGATTGGACCATGACCTTTGGCATCTACACAATTTGCTGCGTGTCGGTAATCAACCGTATAAGCACAGGAGGTTACCGTTTCAATCGCCTTTGTAGCGGTGTTGTATGTGAGTGCGAGGCTGAAGAATGGCAAGGTGAAGTCTGCAAAGCGTACCTACTAGACTATCGGTACCGTAACTACCGGTATTGCCCACACATCAGCATCAGCCTCAGCAGCATCAGCAGCAGCCTTGGGAATAGAAACATCACGATACTACGCAGAAGAACAAGCCGTTCGGACGCTCACAATGGAGGATCACAGCCAAGCCGTTGAAAGAGTGCGCGCCCGCATGCAACACTTCTACGCCAACAAGAAGCCCTTTCGCGTCTACCACGGCAGCACAAACAGCACGCGTCACGCTGAGTTCGACCGCGATGCCATTGTGGATGTCAGTTCTCTCAACAAGATTCTTTGCATCAACCATGCACGGAAAACTGCGTTGGTGGAGCCCAATGTCCCCATGGATGCTCTCGTTCGCGAGTCCAGGAAGCATGGCCTGCTACCCCCAGTCGTCATGGAATTCCCGGGCATCACTGTAGGCGGAGGTTTTGTGGGCACAGCAGGGGAGAGCAGCAGCTTCAAGTACGGCTTCTTCGATCGCACGGTCTTGAGTGCGCAGGTTGTGCTTGCGGATGGGACGTTGGTAACGACATCGCAAGATGAGAATCAAGAGTTGTTTGATGGGCTGAGAGGAAGCTTTGGGACACTGGGAGTGCTGACCATGGTTGAAATGCAATTGATACCATTGAAGCACCTGGTTGAGCTTACTTATCACCCAACCTTCTCCTTTGAGAACGCGATGGGAAAGTTGCGATATCAGATGGGTGAAGAGAGTAATGACTACCTCGATGGCGTGCTCTTCTCCAAAGGTTTTGGCGTCGTGGTCACAGGGCGATTGGTGGATCCAAACGAAGCATCGCAGAACTTACCTCTCCGTCGCTTCTCGCGCCCCTGGGACGAGTGGTTTTGGATTCACGCCAAAAAGCTTGCCTCTAAAGGCATCATGTCAAAGGAGATGGTACCAGTAGAGGACTACCTCTTCCGCTACGACCGTGGCGCCTTCTGGATGGGAATGTATGCATACCAGCACTTCAAAGTACCCTTTACTTGGCTCACCCGCCTCCTGCTCGACTACTTGATGCACACACGCATCATGTATCATGCCCTACACGCCTCCGGGTACACGGACCGATACATAATCCACGACATTGCATTCCCAGCCGCCAACGCAGCCTCGTTTGCAGAGTATCTGGACAGCAAATTCGAGATGTACCCGTTGTGGCTGTGTCCACTCAGGGCGGATGGCCGAAGCTCCATGGGACATGCGCGAGCATTCAAAGGCCGCGTGGACGGAAGTGCTGCAAAGGGTCCATATGAAGGTGCCTACATCAACATTGGCGTCTGGGGCCCGTACCCGTCCAACGAAACCGAATTCGTTGGCGCAAACCGCGAGATCGAGGCCAAGATGCACGAACTCGGTGGACTGAAATGGTTATATTCGCGCGTCTTCTACACCGAGGAGGAATGGTGGCGCGTGTACGACAAGCCCAGATACGATGGGCTGAGAGAGAAGTTCAATGCGACGTCTTTGCCGTCGATTTGGGACAAGGTCAAGGATCGGGGCCGGAAAGAGGATTCGGGCAAGGGCTTGAAGGCGATGCTGAAGAAGATTGTGCGGGGCAACCTGTTTTTGAGTGGATTGTATGGGGTGTACAAGGCGGTGAGAGGTGGAGACTATATGCTGAAGACGAAGGAGACGTGAGAGACGAGGACAGCGTCCCGGGACTGGTACTTAGTTTCTTTGCTCAAGTACCGGTACCGGTGACTGATCGCATTCTCTCGTAGAGAAAATGCTGGTATTTGTCAAGCAACACAAAACCCCAAGGACACTGTAAAAGCATTTGTCAACCGGAGCTTCTTTCACAGCTTGCTACCAGTTCCCCCGCTTCGGCAAGCAAGCCATCAATCAATCAATCAATCAATCAATCAATCAATCAATCAATCAATCAACATCACGGTGTTTACAGTGCTCGTGCACTTGTACGCAACTCATGACGTCTTCGCGGATAACTCCCTTCCGCCGGCCGGAAGCCCAACCGCGCCCTGAACATCCAACTACCCCATCACAACAACACCAACAACAACACCATCAACAACAACAACAACACCATCAACAACAACAACAACAACAACAACAACACCATCAACAACAACAACAACACCATCATGGTTGATCGATCTGCCATTGGGCGCAAACTAGCCAGAGATCAGACAATTGGCAAAGATGATCGGAGCCAGTGGAGCTTGAATACATGGGGCTTTCTGCTTAGTTAGCCACCGCCCCATCCGAGGCTGCGCTTCGTTGTCGTGTTGTCGTTGACATGTTGTGCCCAGTGACAGCGCAGCGTCGTCTTTCACTTCTCGTCCGAACATGTTCGTTGTACCGGTACCGGCTGCAGATCGGAAGTCGCGCTACGTGAAGATCGGTGCGAGCAAAGGTGCGTTCTGCAAGGAGGTCGCGCATCTCCAGTGGACGTTTGGGAGCATCTCAAGATAGCATCCGCTCTCGTGTAGGACGGGGCATGGCACACCCGGGACTCGCAACATGGGGGCTTTTCAGCGACAGGTGCTTCTCCCTAGGTACCTAGCTTTGACCGAGTCCGCGCGCCAAGGGAAGAGAGATTTACGGATTCGATTTCGCCCGTGTGCTGACATTACATTGTGCATGCCATGGCATATGCATGGGGGTGAGGAGGAGGACTGGGAAGCAAATACCGACATGGTGCAGGCTGGTTACACAACCTCCATCCCGACAGCATCACGGCTTGCAGATGCAGACCCAGCACGGCTATTGCATGTGCACTCTGTACCTAGCTGTCCAATTGGCAAGGCTGCATGTCGAGCCGCAAAGCGAGTACCGAACGAGCCGTGGAGGGCTGGTTCCAAACATCTCCCATGCGACTCTATCGTTAGCTGCATGTAGTCCTCCATTGTAATAGCCTTTCCGTCATGGTAGCCCGTTGATCCGCCAATTCTAGCTCGTCGAGATTCCGCCATAGTCACAGCCTCGCCTCGGGGCGGAGTTGTTGCTCATTGTTCAGGCCCCAGCGCCACAGATAAGGAAGGCAGTCGCATCACTTCACCTTTCACTTTTCCCCGCTCCACGATCTCCCTTTTACTTCCCTACACCATCACGGGCACGAACAGTAGCCAGGCTTTGCAACCTCCGCTCCCATTGCCAACCGACAAACTACACCATGGCGCTGCTGAGCTCTCTGTTGTCTCTTGTGCTCGCTGGCCTCGCTGCTGCCAGGCAGTGCTCCAATTTCCTCATACCCGTTGATATCAATTCGCGCCAGGGACAGTTCAAGGAAATCACAGTCGAGAGCAACCTGGACGTCGGAGGGTTTGCGACCAAGTTGAACGAGTTCCAAACGAATTACACTGCAACTCTACTGGAGGGGTATCAGACTCTGTCGGGTACCTTTCAGATCTCTGCCCAATATTGCCGTCCAGACCGTGGAAGCAGCGGAACCATACAGGTCTTGACGCATGGCATTGGATTCGACAAGACGTGCGTATTCTCTTGCCTTGTACCGTCAACTACTGACAAGTGTCAAGGTACTGGGATCTCGACTATGACAACTATGCATACAGTTATGTCAACACAGCTCTGGAGGCTGGCTACAGCACGCTGGCCATTGACCGCTTTGGGATCGGCAATTCATCTCACGGCGATCCGCTCAACGACATCCAGGCTCCAGCGGAGGTGGAAGCTCTCCATGCCGTTACATTGAAGCTGCGTCAAGGCAAAATCAAGCAGATCGATAGTGCGTATGGCAAAGTCATCCACGTCGGTCATTCCTTTGGCTCTGTGCAGTCATACTGGCTATCTGCCCTCTACCCCAACAGCACCGACGGTGTCATCTTGACCGGATACTCTGCCGCAGGTTCCTTCCTGCCCTACATCGTCGCGGGCTGGAACCTGCATAGTGCTCGCCTCAACCAACCGCTCCGCTTCGGAAACGCATCCAATGCAGTAGTGAATAAGCTGGCGGCCCAGTACGGCCTCAAAACAGACCTTGCGGCCAGTCTACAGAAGCTTCTCGTCCAGGGTGGTGTCAATCTAAGCCTCCAAGAAGTTGGGGACATTGTCTCCTCGACAGAAATCCTAGATCTCATCACCGGCTACAACACCAGCGTAATCTCCTACGACTACCCCCCAGGCTACCTCACCTCCTCGGACCTCACCGCCCTCCAATACGCCTTCCTCTACCCCAAAATGTACGAACTTGGCCTCGCCCTCGAAGCCGAACAGACCAAACAACCCGTCACCACGGGCGAGCTCCTCACCATTGGCAGCGCACCCGCCTCGTCTCCCTTCTCCGGCCCCGTCCTCGTCATCACAGGCGAGTACGACGTCCCGTTTTGCGGAGGAAACTGCTACGCCCAACTCCCTGGATCCAACACCAAGACGGCGAGTATCCCAGCCGGCGTAGCGGAAGCCTATCCCTCGGCCAGCTCGTTTGAAGCGTATATTCAGCCGGGCACGGGCCATGGGTTGACATTTCAGCGCAATGCGACGGCAGGGTATGAGGTGATTCAGCGGTTTCTGGCGGAGAATGGGCTCGCAGCTAGTTGAGGTTGTGCAGGTGAAGAGGAGGACGTGTATCTAATGTCTATGCGAAATAGTGCATACTTTGTGCAATTTAATTCTACAGAGTCTATCTTCTTCTTCTTCTTCTTCTTCTTCTTCTTCTTCTTCGTTTCTTTTCGTGTCATGCAGTCAAACCTAATCCTAATCTTCTCAAGTACCGAGTATACACCCTTGACCATCCTCACATCAATCCCTCATCCAAATCCCCACAAGAGTTTCCTACCGGCCCCCATCTATCAACCACCCCATCCGTCCAAGCGCAAGCTCCATTCCTCCACATGGCGTACTCGCTACTTGGCACCGGTAGGCTATATCCCCGTCTGCAGAGGATTAAGCGAAAAGGCAAAGGCGAACGGGCGGGCTGGAGGTGGGGTACCGGTATCTGGGACTAGGTGCCTGGGGGCCAGGCTGGGCTGGGTAGGGATACGGCCAAGGATACGGGTACGGGTACTGCCAACGTACGGTAAGATCGAACCAAGGTCTGCGTAAGATGTTTGAAATCACTCTGGTCTGCGCTTTTTCCTTTTCGCGGCTGCGCGTGTGCAAGGGGTGAGGAAGGGGTGAGTGGGAGGTTGGCAAGGCGGGAGTACCGGTAAGCAAGGACGGTGCTGGTCGTTCTCTAGGCAGCTGGGCTACGGTACCGGTAGTTACGGTAAGGTGTTGGGTGGTGAGTAAGCAAGCAAACTGCAGGGAAGATTTCCGCGTAGTGAGGAAGCCTGGTTCAGTTACTCTACCTACCGGGGTAGTTGGGACCATCTGTGGTGAAATCTCGACAATCAGATTCACTGACTTTGGACATCCGTCTGTCATCCACTGCCTACCTGGGACGCACAATTAGCCGACCATGTACGGCACCGGTAGTTACGGTAGCACCAGTCTAGCCAACCGGTGCGCTTGGCTATTTCATCTTTGCTTCCTACATCCACCCGCTTCCGCCAACAGCACGGGCACCGTAGCCCACCTTGTGCGAATTTATCAAATGCTGCTTTGGGATAGGCAGGCCAATGGCGCTTGTGATGCAACATCGCTCCATACTGCACTGTACTGCACGCCATCTTGGACATGGAGACGGTGAAGAGGGAGAGGGCTCGCAGTACGGCAAGGTTGCCATCACGAACCCACCCGACTAACTCTCTTGCCAACTCTCCCTTGCCCAAGTAAGCCAACTGCAGCGAGCCTTGTCACTGGTGGCGCATACAGTACACAATCTGCTGCTGACTGTACTGTTCGTCCTACCCACACGGTGCTCCTATGCGCATTAGTCACTGCTTTTGCAATGCAGCCCAGCCCGGCTTGTCTTGCTTGGTCAATCCGACGTTTTGCTACTACAACCTACGACGGCGGCACTTAGCAAGATGCTTGTCATGGCCCACTATGAATGTCTAGTCAAGCACGGGCACGGGGATGCGCGGTGTCAGTCTAGTAGGTACCCGTACCGGTATCAGGGCGTTGCTTGCCCGCAGACAGCATGTGCATTGTAGGCCGGGGATACGAAGGACGCTTGGCATGAGAATGGCATACGCTGTAGTCAACCACGGATTCGGATGGTGATTCTCGGAGAGGAAAGGCGGGTGAAAGGGTGACGGGTGCTCGGGCAAGTATAAGTAGGGCTTCGTGCTGCTTGGGATGGAATGTTTTCTATATCAATCACCCAGTCCGCCAGTCTTTGGCATCATTCTTGTGTCCACTCCTTCCCACGAGCTGTCTGTTGTCTTCTCGTTTTCCCAAGATGAGAATTGGATCTGGTATTGCGTTTGCGGCCTTGGGCCTGCTAGCTGTCGTTCGTGGTGATGGTAGGACTTCTCCTGTTCTTCCCGTCTTGAACACTCTCCTTGCTAACATGGCTCAGCTGTACCGTGGGAACGCATCGACAAGAATGACTCTGTAGGTTCGACTTGGACGAATCACTACACTCTTGTGGACACGAAAAACTAATCCAATCACATAGCTCCTTTTGATTCTCGATCTCCAAGTCGGCCTTTTCCAAACCGCCCGCGACTGGGACCCTACCCTCTACCAATCCAACATCATGGCCCACGCCGAGCTCGGCAAGATCTTTGATATCCCAGTCATAATGACCACGTCGGCCGACCAAGGTCCAAACGGTCCCTTGCCAAAGGAGATGTTGGACATGTATCCAGATGCTCCTCTTATCCGCCGTCAGGGCGAGGTCAAGTACGCGAGCGCCCACCAACTTTCCATGACATGCCCGAGATGAACATCACTAACACACGTCTCAGCGCCTGGGACAATCCCGAATTCCAAGCCGCCATCAAAGCAACAGGCAAAAAGCAAATCATCGTCGCCGGGATTACAACCGACGTTTGCACCGCTTTCCTTGCTCTCGCCCTCCGCTCAGAAGGCTACTCGGTCTTCGCCAACATCGAGGGCTCCGGCACGTACTCCGAACTCGTGCGTGATACTGCCAACTCGCGCATGCAGCAGGCGGGCGTGCAGCTCGTGTCGCTCTTCGCGATTGTATGCGATCTGATGCGTGACTGGCGTGCTACCCCTGGTGCGAAGGAGGTGTTGCCATTCTTGGACAAGTACATGCCTGTCTACGGTATGTTGGCTAGACATCATGCTGCGGCCGTCGACAACGGAACTGTCATCCCAGGAGAGATGGAGTTGATCACTGGGCCAAATGGAACCATCTCGACATAGGCGGCGAGGAGGACTAGTATCTCGCGGAGGATCGTACAGGGTCGTACAGTGGAGAAGGGTGGATGATGAGAATTTATAATGGCCGCTCGGAAGTCGTGACCCCAGGCCGTGAGTTAGAAGAATGTCCTAGTAGGACTGCGTCCCCGTGGATAGATTATATCGATTGGCTCAGACCTTTTTGCTCTATCTTCTTCATCTGCAGCTCGTTGTGCAGCCTCTTGAACCAAGGTGTCATAGTCCACGCCTCCTTCCGCCCTACGCTTCAGGTTTCTCTTTCTTTCTTCGTTCATCTTGACGACTTGTCTCTGCAAAGTATCCCCGTTGACTGGCATAGCAGGATCCATATTCCTCCATCTCAGATCATTTCCCCAATGTCTCCTCTGTGTAGGCCATTCGTAAGTTTCGCCCATCATTGTCCGTACCAACGGCGTCGGCTGGAACCAGATTGTGTTGCACTTGACGCAGTGATTTTGCCCTGCATAGATCCATGTCTCCAGACACCTGTGGCCAACATAGTGCTTACAGCCCGGTGTCAAGATCTGTATCGGGCATTCGCAATAACCTGATGCACATGTATGATCCGGTGTAGTCTTCCACATTACTTTGAATGACTGCCAATTCAGGCTCGGCACGCCATCGAAAGCGGTTTTCTGTAGTTTCGCAGCAAAAGCGTTCTTCGCGCGCTCCACTTCGGCCATGACGCTATTCAGGCGTTGTCGTGGGATTCCTGGCGGAGGCCACCACGGAGCATCGCACATTGGCCTTTCGCATAACGAGCAGTGTTTGGTGGCGTTGTGGAATCCGTGGAGGGAGGAGACTGTGACACGTCTCAGGTGTTCAATGAGAAAGACGGGTAACGTGGGCGGCTTGCGACTGAAGCAGTCTGCATGGAGTAGGCGTGATGGGTTGCTTGGTGGGTCTGGCAGCGCGTGGTGAGACATTGCAGATGGTGACTGCTGGTCATGAAGCGACATGTTGTCAGCAAGCGAAGATGTCGTGGTGGTCAGAGAGCTGTACGGGTGGCTGAGTAGTCATGATAACAAATGATGGTGTTCAAAGTGTAGATGAATGGTGAAGTGTTGCCGTTGTCTTGTTGCGTTGTTGGCTGCGGAGAGTGATGAAGTGAAGGCAGGTGCTGGCCAGGCATCGTGGTCCGGACAGGCCCAGGCAACAGCAAGGCATTGAGCAGTGGCCACTTGATGAGACGTTGGGTGAGTTCAGTATAAATACAGGGAGAGGTACTGTTCATTATCATCCTCACACATTTCCAAAGACCAGTAGGATACCAGTCAAGTTACAGCATTGAACATTCACTCCCAAGACCAGAGTACAACTTCACTTCCACAATCACTCACGCCACCACAACTAGATCATAGGCAATACCCCCGCTCTGTAAACAAGGCCTCTCAAGCCCCAACCTGTACAGTATCACCATTAGGATCGAACATGCCAAATCGCATCCCACCTTTTCAAGTCTCCGATTTCCTTGCCCACAACACCCTTCCTATCCCGCTCTCCTCCATCCCCTCGACCTCCTTCGCTGAACCCAACTGCCCCATCTGTAAAGTCCGCTATGCCGATCCGCCCTCGGACTACGTCCATCCCGACATAGGCGACGGCCAACCAGAGTACGCGATTCAAGTAGTTAATCGGCCGCCATGTATGCACGTGTTTGGCAGACGCTGCCTGGAACGCCATGTCAGGAGTAATAGGCCGTGGAGTCACACGTGTCCAACATGTCGCGCAGGGTGGTTCAACGCGCCGAACAGTGCGCGTGAAGCTTTGCTGAGAAATGTGCAAGAGGGGTTGATGAGCCTTGCCAGGATGGAAGGAAGTGATGAGGATATGAGAGAGGAGTTGGAAAACGTGGAGAGCGCGTTGGAGAGGATGCGAGACGTTTTGTTCCAGTCGCGATGGATCTAAGACCGTGGAGGAGTCTGTAGCGAAAGAGATGCTTATGAGTGGCCTTGTCTCGTGCTCATGGACAAAGTTTTGTGCTAGACTCTCTCACCACAAATCACACTATGTAAAGAAATAGGATCGTCTAGACAAATGCATACACTGTACTACCTCGAGCTCTACATAGCTAGTCATAGCGCTGCCCCCGGTGCCGCCGTGCCAGGATGACAAAATGTAGAACAGCAAACTCCATCGAACATGGGAACTGGCTATGCTATTGGCTGATAAACTATGTCCCAGACCTGTTATCTTGGTTTGAGCATTCCATTAATGTCTGCAAAATAAAGGATGTTATCCCAAGACCCGCTGCAATCATATCGTCACTCAGCAAAGTCATATCGGGGATCTGCTTGTTGCAGACTTGGCAAAACATTTGGTAACCAGTCTCCAATGCTCTTTTTCTACGCATCATCTTGCTGGTTCTTCATTGCTCACGCACTTCATCTTCTCACGAAGACCCGATCCTCACAACAATCTGACGTAAACACTGCTTGTAGGTACATTCTGCGGGGTATATCTGCCCAATTGCACCGCGATACGAGGCATAGCGCGCTGGGCATGGCAGTAATACTGTATGTACTGTGGTATGTACGGTACAGAGGGTAGACGGATTAATAGTACCCTTGCCAGTCTCCGTATCATGTCAAGTTTCATTGGTACAATGGTGTGCAGCCGTCGATTGATCGGATGCGTGAAAACATTATTAGACAGGGGCGGGTTCAATGATAGGCATTCCGAACGGTGATTGCGGTTAGTATGGACCTTTATTTCATCTCGGACTGCAAGTTCTGATCCAGAAACCGGTGTTTTTGAATGGAACCCGTAGGTCCATCTCTGAGAGACAAGCTTCAGGAGTACTTCCAGGTGTCAAGTGCCTTGCCTTTGTGTAAGTCTAATCAGAGTATCTGCCAAGATTCTACTAAAACCAGCCCAGTCAAAGTAATTGAAAGGGAAAGAGTATGGAAGTTACAGCAGAGAGGAAGAAACTTCAGGGCACGGAATGGCATAAAGCTCTCAATTCCATCAGATGCCAGTAAGGACGCATGCTATCACTGATTGGAGCTTTATACGCATTCTTTTGTTTTCGCCACTCACGCATCAATCGCATCATCGCGCCGAGGGAGTCGATAGAAGCCAAGGGTCTGCAGTGAAGCAATATATCAGAAGTGGCTGAAGGTCATTGGAGCAAAACGACTTGCGTGGGTTGGAGGCCAATTTCTTTGTCGGACCTTTGGCAATGATGTCGTCGGAATAATGAGCACATCGGTGTTGATGTGATTGAAAATTGGCAGTATCTAGGCCTATACTGTAACCATTTACGTTTGAGCCTTCAGACTTCGAAATGCGTGGTTGAGCAAGCACAAGATAGATTGTAGGATCAAACAGCTAGGAATGCGTTCTCCAACCGGCTCTACGGTATTGAGCTGTGTGTTGAGCAGTCTTCTGCTGCGTTTCTTCACATAGTACTTGTCAGAAAGATGTACCGGACGCCACAACTAGTGACGTAGTTGAAGACTCCAAAGCAATCTTTTCATCGAGTGCCCACCACCACCTGGACAGTTCTCGGGTGACAAAGAGTTCACCACCCCGGGACAGCTGATCTGCAGTAATCCATGAGACTGCTGTTGCAGGTTTTGGACTGTCCTGGCTGGAGTAGACAGGTGGAGGAGGCGTACGCTGACACGTGATTGCCCAATCTCTACCTGCCTGCCTCCATGCACAGCGGAGAACATGCCTATCAGTACCTACGTATATCTACTACCTATGTACCGGTACTTTGGTCATCACTCCTCAATTCTACATCCTCCACCACCTCCTCCGCTCTTGCACAAATTCAATTCATATCCAATCTCACAGCAATTTCCCTACTCACACAAGATCTTCCCGCGGCCGTCTCGGATGCAGAAAAGGTTCGGGGGCCATGCAGGAGGGAAATCAGCCGCTCCTTTGGCAACCCTGGACCTGGTCTGTGTGTCCCAACAGTCAACTCCAGGAGAGACGATATCAACATCCATGCCGGGGTGTACCTACTTGATGGGGCCCTGCGCATCACTTTCTGTTCAAGGTCGCCGAACAGTCACCCAGAAATGAAAAAGGATGGAAAGACGGGCAAGGTAGGTAACTTTATCCTGTGTTGCTCGGTACAACAGGAGCCCTGGCTTTGCATCAAGACATGGGGGGTCGCCAGCATACCGGTAAGATGTTGCCCAACAATTTACGTCGATGGATAGGCACCGGTAGGTAATCTCCCGCACCAGGTTTGGCGAGAAAAAGAAGGTCGAGGTGCAGCGAGATATCAAGATACAGTCTGCGCCAGATTCACGTCTTGATCCCATGGGATTTTCCCGAAGAATATGCGACCTTTTTTTGTTCCAGGATTGCTGACAGGCCTCTAGGTACCGACTCCTTGGCTTGCACACAGGCCTGTGGATTTGCGTTTGCCAACAGAGTCTCGACACGGAAGCACCCTTCCCCTAGCTGGATCTGAATGCGCTCACTTCAGCCCGCCTCCTACCAAGATGGCGTTTTTGGAGCGCGCAGACTGGATCGCTTGAGAGGCGGAGGGCAGTTTGTAATCTTAGTGGCCGGTTTGGGGTGGTCGAGGCTGCCAACACATTGGTTTTGGATTCCGGGGGCTCGAACGCGAGAGGCACGCAAGCCTCCCCATTTCAATCTGGCCTGATTGCTGTCCATTCATGTACCGGTAGGCGTCTCGCTTTTGGCGCGACATGAACTCGCCAGCCAGACGTGCAAGACTCTAGATAGCGGTAGGTACAAGACAGGGCAGGCAAGGCTCTGACAGCAAAGACGAATCTACCTGCAGCACTCAGCGGGCAACGCAGGTTCTGTGCGCACACAACACCAGAGACGAAAAAGCATGTCCTCGCACTGGCAAGACGACAAGCCCTGTCGGTTTTCGGCCCGTCATGACTGACGCCTCAAAGGAGCAAGGCATGGTCGTGGAGCGCGGGAAGGATTGGCTTGGGACGCTGCCTAATCCACTGGGCCGGTGTGTTTGTCTCCCCATCTTGGACGCGTGGCTTGCTTTGCGGGGTTTGCTGGTTGCCTCTGCCTCAGGCGAGACCGAGAGCATTAGATGAAGCCCCCGCCTCCCCATCCCCCATCCGCCTTCGACATGCGGTGATGCCGACCAATGGCGGGATAAGCAAAGCAGAGACGGTGGGGGGTTGGGGAATGATGATGCCCTTGGGCTGGTCAGCATTTCTACAACTAGCTAGCTAGGTAGACTGGAGTGGTAGGCATGCTTTTCCTTTGGTTTTGCGCAAGCGTAGGTACGCTGGGATGAGGGTTGTTCGTATCGTACGGAATGCGATCACAAGGACACCACATCTGGTTCACCATACTCGCACAGCGCCTGCGTGTAATGGAGGCACAAGCGCTATCGACCTACAACCACTACCGTACCTACCTACCCACCCCACCTACCTCTACCTGCTACCACGAGAGTTGCAATCTACCAGGATCCTGACCGGCTGTCAAAGTAAAATTTGTCCCAAGACCATTGGCATGGGTACGGACGGCAGGCTGGCCGTCAATCCAGAGGATCATGTTGTCCAACATGGGCCCGAATTATTGGTACTCACCCCAAATCTTGCTGATCACCCGCAAGGGTGGCTTGTGGCGTTGCAGGTTGCTGTACATACATACCACCGTACATGCTCCATGTATGTGTCTGGTTGCACCCCTCGTTTTGTGTCTTGTTCCAGAAAACTCGTACACTAGCATCAGGCCATGCATTTTTGGTGCTTGCAGGTGATGTGGTGGGTAGGTAGGTAGGTAGGTAGGTAGGTAATCTGTGGCCGATTCATGCGCAGACTACTTTGGTAGTATGCTAGGTAAATCAGATGGAGTGTTTTTCTTTTTTTGAACGGCTTCAAGCCTCGCCTGCCCTGGCTCCAATACCTACCGTATGGCTTGAACAAAACGTCCCCATTGTCAGGCTCAAACCAGGCGCGAAACATGCAAGACCATCGTCGTATTGCTTGGCCGTCTGTCCGGTAGGCACGGTATTTCTCTGACTGTTTCACACTCATTTACCGCCAAAAGAAAAGAAAAAACCCCGGTTCCCCTTTGTCGGAATGCACATGGGTGAAGGGGTGTGGGGGGGGGGGGCAATAAAGTCACAATCGACACATGCTCTTGGTGTACCTGTAACCCAATTCCACCTCCGCGCTTACGGTACGGTACTGTCGCGCTGGATGTCCACAGCCAAGCATAGTCCACAAAGTCGACGAGTTGCCATTATTAGCAACCATCCTTCTATCATCCATCCATCCATGAGGTGTGATCAGCCGATGCTCACATTACACCTACCATAACCCACAGCGTACTATTTGAAAACCAGCAAAAGGACAACAACAGATGACACCTCGAACCACCATGAGATCGATACCGTTCATGTCAAAAAAAAAGGTGCGCCTTGGCAACACTGATGACAAGACAGGCAAAAAAAAAGCAAACTCGCCAAAGATTTCCATGTGCGTGATAGCTCGCCCCCTTCTCGGTCCTTATTGTTCGTACCCTGTTTTGCGCAAGCAAGAGCAAGCACACGCACAAGCACAAGACAGCCATGGGGAAGCAGGGCTGATGCCGGAGGGCTTGGCGATCTAGACTTTGTCCGCCGTGATCTATTTCGCTTTGTTGTTGTTTCTTTTGACTGCTTGTGATCACGTCTGACTGTATGTATGTGTATATATACCTATATATGTACGCATATATGTATGTACAGCACATGGCAATATTAACCATGCACGTTCTATAGGCTGGGGGGTGGGTGGGCGATTGATTCGTACGGGTTGAGTTTCCTGATTGCCAGATGCCAAGTTGTGGCTGAAAGGGTTACCGGTAGGTGCCGTAGGCAGGTATAGTAGGTAAGGTCAGGGACGAAGGGCAAAGACGGAAGAATTTGAGACAGTCGTCTGTCTACCTTTGTCGTTATCGGGCAGTCGTACCAGTCCTTCGGTGTTGCTCACTTTGTCGTAGAAAAGGAAGCGGACGTGGCTCCGAGGGTTTACTCGTGCTGTCACAGTGGGTCCCTCTTCCCCTCCCCCCAAGCACGTGACTGGCCCAAGCGTCAAGGCCCGTCGCCGTCCCGTGGCTCCTCTGCCGTCCATGATCTAAATTGGTCGATCCTTCTTGCATAGTGGGTACATACCTATCCCTCGCAAGCCATGGCAGCAAAGCCTATCAACAGAGGATCAAGCGACCTGTACGCCCATGGAGGGGGATTGTACATGGTGCCTGCGCCAACCGTGGTGCCCCTTTGGTGTTACGACTTTTCTTTTCCCATGTTGAAGCTTTCGCTACTATCTGCACCTTAATTAGTCCACTATGATGGATCAGATTTCCGTGCCAGCGCCCTTCCTTCTCCCAGTGGGAGCGAATGGTATTCTCGCGATAGGGGCAGGGTGGGCCAAGGAAATGGTCTATGGCATATTGGAACCTAGTGGACTGCTCTTTGGCCAAGTAGGTTTTACGGTTTACCGTTTGGACGTGTATTTTTCCAACGGTGCCAGACTGAACCAAGCTTTGGCTGGGCCAATACAGTTACATTGGGAGTCTTCGAGGGGCGTCTGGTGCGGTAGCACACTCAATACTCATGCGCCAGTCGCACAGCAGGCTTGGGTGGCAGGTTAGCGTACAGGAGGAGGAGGTTGGGTGTTTGTGATAGGCCCAAGGGGGGACCCAAGAGAGCGAGCTCCGGCCTGGGGTTCACGCCGTCTTGCAACCTTATCCATGACTTTGGGCCAAAGGATCCAGGGACCACGCGCAATGCAATGTCACAATGGGCTCGTCGGGGCCGCCAGCGCAAGGTGAACACGGACAGCAAGGGTCCAAGGGCCAGGTATGGCAGTCAGTGCGAGCCAGCCGTTCGCCAACACGGGGAAAGACATGTGTGGTGGCGCAAAGGGTGGGTGGGCGAGATGAGTGGGAAGCTATTGCCGTTGCCCAGGTGTGCTTCTCCTTCTTGGAAAGAAGCATTTTACTGGACATGGTGGCCAAGAGAGGAGAGGGCGAGAATGGGGGACCGGGTTCGGGTTGGGTACCTAGATATAGTATGAGGGCACCTAGACACATGGGTGCGAAAGCGAGGCATTCTCGCCTGGCCGCCAGAAGCCACCATCCAAAGAGTCGAGTTTTTCATGGCCCATGTCGAAAGTGATGGGTGGTGAGTAATGCTGCTGGCCTCAGAGCGACGGACGAGCAAGGTAGGTGGGGTATGTCGGGTGTGTATGTAGATGTGTAGATGGCAAGGTAGGTCGTCTACGCCATGGGGGAAGCCTTGCACTCCCTCCGTCCGCCTGTGTGGGCGGTGTGGGAGAAGAAGAAGAAGAAGAAGAAGAAGAAGAAGAAGAAGCAGCAGCACAGAGGCATGGCATGCTGTCTTGAACAAGTGGGCTAGGTAGATTGAACGACGTGATTACATTGCCTACGTGTTTTGCATGGGGAGGAGGAAGGGAGGGGAGTCGATGTGCGAATGCGAGTGTGTGTCAGCATTAGAGTGAATGAGAGAATGTGTGTGTGTGTGTGTTGGTGGGGGTGGTCGACGGCGACTGCGCCTCACGCCAGCGCCAGCCATTGGCTCGCTTAGAAGACCTAATGCGGGCAATGGTCGGCCAAGCAATGGCACCACATCACGCTTTGGCTGCTGTTGGCTCGAGTAAAATTAGAATCCTCCCAGGTCGAACCAGACCAGACGGACGTCATGGGCGAACGCATCGCACCAGCCGCACCAGCCGGCACCAGCCACACTCGCGAGGCTGTGTACATCACGGGAATCACCCTTTCTCTTACCATACACGTACTCTACTCTACCTACAGTAACTTACCTACTCAAGAACCAAGACTTGACTGGCTAAGATTGGCCAACGCAGACGGGATCGCGAATCAGACGGGCGGCGGGCAGCCAGGAAGGGAGACTATGGCGGCAGGCCATCTATCCCAAGTTACCGTACCGTCCTGTATGTACAATATACATGCATGTATTGGAATAGCAGCTACAGTACAGTAGGTACGGTACTACGAGTACGCTATCGCACGACGACGACACCTTCTGCCATGGCTCCCCCGAGAGAAAGCGGTGGCGGTGGTCAAGCGTGGGTTTCGGCGAGCACACCCTTCCCTTCTTCCCTTCTTCCCTTCTTCCCTTCTTCCCTTCTACCCACACCCCTTGCCCATCCGCTTGCTTTCGCCAGATCAAGGTTGGAGGCTTCCACGCTCTGCCAATCTCACTCGCCGAGCCCTGTCTCCGCTGCTTCATTTGCAGTTTGGCGGCCTGCTTTGCTTGCTTTGCTGGTGCGTCCCTCTTGCAGGACAGGGGTCGGCCACACCGCGACTCCAACGAGCCTTGTCCCACCACGAAGCGACCGGAGCGCGCGATCGAGGCGGGCACTGGCACTGGGTCAAGCCCCGTTCCCTCCCCCATTCTGCTCTTTTCTTATTCTCCTAGCCTGACTTGGACCGTTCCCACACCCTCTCCAAGAGTCCATGCTACCCATTCCATCCATGTTCATGCCCGCCGTCCATGCGCGCGTAGGGCAGTCAGTACCTACCTACTTGCAGTCCCTACTACTCTCTACCGCTGCCTAACCTAACCTCTCCTAACCTCTCCTAACCTCTCCTAACCTATCCCACCCTAGGTGAACAGGTAAACTACCTCTACCCACGCAGGGGTCTGACATGCCCTCGTGTGGCTTGGAGCCATGGCCCGCGCTGGGGCCCATGGCCGTCCTGTCTCTCTGACCTCTGCTAGAGTATAAACTCAACTTCGCCCCCGAGCACTCGTCTCCCAGAAAACCAAAGCGCCTCGATCAGCAGACTCGCATCTTCATTCAGACGCTTGCCGACGCCTTGCATCCTCCGTCCGGACCAAGTCCTTCCCGACTGTCCCCTCCCCACCCCCTCCTCCACTTGTCTTCCCTCCAGCCAGCCTTATTGCAACAAACTGGGAGGAGGGCTCACCCGCTGCCACCCACGCCCCAATCCAGTAATTGATCTGCCAAACATTGCCAATACTGGCTTGTCGCCGACCAGTACGACAGTCCTTGGATCGGATCGGCCTCGTTTCAGACCAGGTAAGCTTTCCCCTGCTGTCCCTTATAACTCGCACTAGCATGGCCAATTCACTTTCCTACGCCATCGGAACTTTTTTTGCCTACTGCTTACGCTGACCCGATCTTGTGTGTAATCAGGACGGAACGGCGGCCCATCATATAACCCCTTCACCCACAATTGTCTCTCCTACAGCCGTCGCCCATCATGGTCGACTACGCTGCCTACCCCCCGCACATGCCCCAGGACTTTGACTTGTACTCGACCACCCAAGAGCAACAACTAGACTTTCACTCACACCAAGCCTACATGCCACCCTCCTCGACATACCCCATGCACCACCACGCTTATACTGCCTCTTACCACCACCACATGGGTCCACTCGCAGAGATACCGAGCCAGCAGGAGCTGCATTACCATTACGATGCCATTGCCCAAGGAGTCAAGTCCTTTCCTTACCAGACGCCTGCAGGATCTCCCCACTCGACCTCACCTTCCTTCCACGAGCAGCTGCCCATCCTCTCCGCCTCTTCCGAATCCGGCGCTTCAGTCACTTCTTCCGCCATGGGTTCCCCATTGCATACCACCCAACTCACCGAGCCCTGGAATCCCGTTGGCCTTGGCCTTGGCTCTGGCTTCGAATATCCTGCCATGGCCGCATCGTCTGAGAAGAGCTTTGTGGACCCCAATCTCATTCAGCCTTATGCCTTTGCACCCCAAAGTCCCTATCCAGACATCGGGACCACCCCCTCGCCCTATTTCCCCGTCATCGAGCAACCACCTTCCCCAGCTCTTTCTCACATCTCAGCACACAGCCAGCACGCTGGCGTAGTACGCATCAAGCAGGGCAGCGCCAGCCCACGCGTCCACACTCCACGATATCACCCCTACCCTCCACCAAACAGGCAAAGGCGCGCTTCCGTCGCTTCTCTTCACTCCCAGCAGTCGGGCACAAGCCGCAAGAGCGGCGGCAGCAGCA